AAAAAAAAAAAAAAAAAAAAAACTTCACAATTTAATCTTACAACAAAACAATTTTTGAATTTTTGATTTTATCAATTTAAATTTAGATTTTTGATTTTATTTTTAATTTAAATCGTTTACTAAAATCGACCGAAAATTTCTATTTTAACCATTAATATATAAAATATTTAAAAACATCTTTGTTGATTTTAATTATTAAAATATAATTTTTTATTAATTTTACTTGATAAAAATAAACATATAATTTAAATTAAAATAAATCAAAATAATAAAATTTATAGCGACAAATTAAAAAATTAAGATTTATTTTGTTATAATAATCAAATGTAAATATATATATTCACTGTGTTTAGTTTTAATTTTTTAAAAATTGAATTTTTTAATTTTCGTATTTTTTTATTTTAATGAATATTTTAAAAAAATTTAGCAATTTTTTTACTTTTTAAAATAAACCTTATTTATATATATTTAAAAGTAAAATATTTATAAAAATCAATAAATCCACAAGAATACGAAAAATATATTGAATTTTTATATTTTTGATATTTAGTAAAAAAATTTAAAAAAATTCACAAATATTATACTTTTTAAGTATATTTATATTAAGTGTATCTAAAAATTAAAAAAATTACTCAAAATATATATATAAAAAATACAAAAAAACAAAAAATTTTAATTTTCTAAAAAGTGAATTATAAGTTAGAAAACCAAACGAGCATATTATTATTATTGATTCGCCTCCTTCCTGTGCACGCGTGATGTCCTTCAAGCCAACAACCCAAAATACAACTACTTTGTACTAAAATATCCGTATCATGAAGACACCGGATCCTCTTTTACCTGCTGAGAATCTCAATAAAAACAAAAAATCATAATTTAAAAAGCAAAATTACATACATTCCTGGTTTGTTCAATACACCAAGGTCACCATCAGGAAGAAGCAAGCCAGTGAAATCACTAACCTGGCTGGCCTCTAACAAACTCACACAGAAAGAGAGAGCTTTCCTCCCAAACAACGCGCCACACCGGATTTCTGCCAACTCCAAAAAGACATTTCTCCTTCCTAAATTCTCAAGTGTTTGATGGATACCCACCAAACAATCATCAACCTCACATTCAAAACAGTAAATCTTGTGTCTGTCACTGCCACACGACCGACCTCTCTTCCAAAAGCAATCAATCAAAATAGGGATTCTGAGAGAGATGATTGGAGTCTGAATTACCCAGATGTTGAACGCAATCATAAGGAAAAAGCCATTCCATTATTAATGTACATTTGTAAGAAAACTAACTAGAAATTCTTAATAGCTAACTGATACATTCGGAACATCCAAGTCAAACTTTTAACAAGCATGTCTCGTTTTTCAAATCTGCAGAACTCTTTAAAATTTCTATATAAGAAAAAGCCTATAAGAACAATTACTTTCCCAAAAATCAAAATATCATCATCATTTTAGTCTGAGAAGCTTACTGAATCACAAGTATGAACAAAATCTCAATTTGCTAATCTGTAATTTTTCTTTCTTATTTTCATCTTTAGTTGACACCATTTGAGAATCACCTCAAACAATAATAACATTATAATTGATACAAATGGGTGATATTGAAGTCACATGGATTAAAAAATATAAAAAAAAATCAATAAATATGACCCTCGTACCTACTCTGCTTCAAAAATAATATTTTGGACAAAAAACTGAGGCTGGCTAACTGCTTGGTTCATAGCGTGGGTCATGTACCAGACACCTAGACCGAGAAAATTGGAGACCTCACAAGAACAGTTGGTCAAAAGTGGCTTACCTCTCTGTATGCTGCTAATCTGCAAAAGCTAAATCAAATATTTGATTGAAGTCATCTACAAAGTGGACCTCAAGTCCTTCCTTCACATTAGGTGCAAGCTCATCAAAATCTCTTTTGTTAGCTGAAGGAAATATGATGGTCTTCACATCATTGCGCCTCGCCGCTATAGTTTTCTCCTTAACCTGATTTTGTACACAAATAAGATTATAAGACACATCTGTGAGATTTAAAGTTCACCACAAGAAATATAAAGGAAATTACAGATTTCTTAATAAACATAGTTTATAAATTTCAGTAAGACCTAAGAAGCATGGACACTTCTAAGAAGGTAAAATATTATGTCCGACACCGTGTCAGACAACGATAAGACATAACACTCGTCGGACACTTCCTAATACTTAGACACACATGAAACACATTACCAGTTTGAGTAAAATAACTTAGAATCCAATGATAAAACAAAAACAGTATAAATTTATACATTTTCTCCTCCTTTAGACTTTCAAATTTTTTGTCTTTGACTAAAATATTCATATGTATGATAGATATATAATAATTTTATTTATCCGTATATATGACATACAATAAATATATAAAATTATATATTTTCACATGTCACCCACGCATTGTGTCCTAGGTCAGAACATTGCAGTTGGATCAGTAAGCTAACAAGAGTTGGGGTAGGAACTAAAAAATCAAATATTTAAAGGTAACTCAAGATTTTGTTCTGGGATTTTAGGAAACAAGTAGATATGGAAGTAATGGAACACTAGATCCATTATAAAGAGAGCATGCAACAGGAGTTAGCCATAAGCATCAATTAATCACTTAAAACATCCTAATGAAAAAACACGACGACCTTTATCACGGAAAATAAAAGGAAAGACAAATATTAAGGGTTACTTAACGTACCCCACCAATTGGAAGGATTTTCCCAGTTAGCGTTACTTCCCCAGTCATTGCTAGGTCCTTCCTGACAGGCTTCTTCATGGCAAAAGATAGCAAGGATGTAATCATGGTGCAACCAGCACTAGGCCCATCTTTAGGAGTGGCCCCTGCAGGAACATGAAGATGAAGCTTTGAATTGGCAAAGAAAGTATTCTCTGGCTCTTTCTCAAGCAATATTGCTCTCGCAACTGTGTGAGCAATCTGGGCACTTTCTTTCATCACATCTCCAAGTTGTCCAGTGAGATGCAAAGCCCCCTTCCCTTCCGCTTGCTCAATCAGAGTGGTTTCAATATAAAGGGTGGAACCACCCAGAGCAGTCCAAGCAAGACCCATCACAACTCCAGCTGGTGTGTGTTCGTATATGCGTTCAGCATGGAAAACAGGTTTGCCAACAAAATCAGACAGGTTCGCTGTGTCAACCAACACTTTCTCAACTTCCTTACTTGCCTCACTTTCCTCTTTTTTATCAGTTTCTACATTGACCTGTCAACAATGACAACCGTCAGCAACATCATTATCTCCTACGACCAGGATGTAATAAAGGAACTAGCTGTTGAAGTGTTTCACTGAGTTAAACAAAAAAGCGCAATATCAAAGTGAAATCCAAAGACACTAAGAAAAATTATATAGGACAGGACAAGTACAATACTCCAAGTGCAATTATTTTGTTTTATTATTGGTACTTCTAACCCAAACTACCAACAGTAATGTTTTCCTATGTTCTAAACAAAATAAATAAAATAACCTCAAACACTGAAAGATGTAGGTAGATCTAAAGTTCAACTTACTTGCATCAACTTTAGATGAAGAAATTCATGATTTTAATTCATAAGTTTTATTCAGAAAAGAACACCCCTGAAGTTTCAAAAAAGCAGACAAAAAAAAAAAAGGGAAAAAATTAAAAGAGCATGAGACGCTGTAGTTTGAGGTCTCAATGGAGGCCAAAATAACATTTCTCCAAAAAACGCTCATAAAAAAAAAACTGAAATGCCAAAGCTAAAGACAAGCCATGTTGTTAAATGGAATTAAATGCAAAATGACTTTGCATTGCTACAGATTTACAGAAATAATTGACTTCTTAGATACCTTTGAATCAGTAGGCTGATTAGTGAGGTGTTGCTTTTCGTCAACTGAGTGATCCTTCTGTGTAGTGTCTATTTCAATTGAGATTTCAGAGGCCATGTCATTACTGCCACTGTCCACTGGTTCAGATACAACCTCAGTCTCTGCTTCAACCACTGTTTCAGCTGATTCACCGACCGATTCTTCTTTCACTTCATTAGGTCCCACAACATGATCTCCAGCAGCTGGAAGTTCACTTGATGCTCCTTTTCGGACAAGTCGCAGAGCAATCTGCCAAAGCAATTACAGAATATTTTGGTAATAAGAAAATGCCAATTATTCATGTGGGTTCAAATTTATGAATATTTTGGTAAAGGTTTTTTTACAAATATTTTACTTTTTAAGTGTAACTAGATTACGTGTGGATTCAAAAAGAAAAAAATTGTTTATAATATTTAAGTTCGCTAAAAACAAAAAAAATGCAGAAAAAAAAAACTCAAAACCAAACATAGTGAATGACGACCAAAAAAATTATGAAAACCAAGATTAATGCATGGATCACCCAGTCACAAAAAAACAAACACTTGCAATTATAAAAAATAAAAATAAAAAAGTGTACAGCCTACAATCACCTAAGTAGTCGCCCCACATAATTTTAAATTTGAAGTTGGGTATCAAAAATCAGGATTGGACAGTCTAGCAAACCTTGCGATAAATCTTCTCAATGTGCTTCTGAAGATTTCGAACACCTGCTTCTCGGCAGTAATTTTCTATCAAAGCAAGGAGAGCAGCATCAGTCACTTCAACCTGAAACAAATTAGATTTAAAAATGTCAATCATTACAATTTAAAGATATACCCAACTAAAATGCATGAGTGTGAAATTGAAAACCTATCTAGTCATAATTTACAGCATAGTAAGTCACAGCTAAAGTTGAAGACCAATCAAGATTCCCCATTTCAAAACCATCATATGACATTTGTTGTTAGAGCTTGGAAAACATACATCCCAGTATTACGACAAGCTTCATTCTTACAACATGAATTAGCTTAGTAGAAATGAGTCACGAATAGAGAATTTTACAATTCAGAATGCAGTATATAATTCATTATCTAGCGTACTAGCATACTCAGTCCTTAATTAAAAAAGCATTTTGTAGAGGTGAATGGCAATTTTTTAATACATAAAAAAAAAATAATAATAATAATAATGATCATTGTATTACTATAACAAAAATGCCAAAGGCGGTGCAACCCTGTACAAAGAAAAATCAAGAAAACTCAGCAAAAACTGAGCTCATCAACAACATTTACAAGAGAGGATTCAAAGAAAATATATATATATATATGGCCCTTTCCACCAAAATGAAGTGTAGGCAAAAGACTCATCTTAAGTTTCTAAATACATTTTGGTTGAATGCGGCGTTCCAGAAGTCACTTCGTAATCTGGACTTCTGCAGGGAAATCCCTATCCCTGGGTACTATAAAGAACCAGAGAAGAAGTATGGTGTTCGAAAAGCTACCACCTACAAAGGCAAGCCACATAATTCTCACGTCAGAATTGACAAGAGAAAGTATTTACAAAAGTCAAAACACTGTAAATGCTACTTATGTGGAGAGGAGGGACATTATGCCAGGGATTGCACAAAGGAGAAGAAGAATGTCAAGAGGGTAGCTGTATTCGAAAATCTGAGCATTCCTGAAGACTATGATGTTATGTCCGTAGAACCAGGAGATGACGACTCAGATGCAATCTATTCAGTATCGGAAGGATTTGATGATACTGAACAAATTGGAGGTGGTTTAACAGAAACAATTTATATGCTTCGAGAAGCTGATAATGTTTGTTGGCTTGGCAAGGAAGGAGGATATCGGGCTCAAATTAAGGTCTCTCCAGAAATTTATCACTGTCAACATGAATGGGACCGACAAAACCCATTACCAGAAGACAAGAGACCAGAATGTACCACATGTAGGAGAGATTTATCCTCATACTCGAAGGCTTTCTGCAACAAATGTAATGCCTTGACATGTGCACTCTGTGCTAAGCATTACTTCAACCTCACTACATTTATAACTCGGAAAGCTCCAATCCCCTACAATCAAAAGCCATTGTTACAGGAGCAACAAGAGTACATCCGGTGGTGTGAAGCTGAGATGAAGAGGCTCCGAGAAGAAGCCATCCAATACAAAACTGAACTTGAGGAACTCAAGTTAATAATTAAACTTCAGGATGATGAACGGGAACTAAGAACGAAGGGAAAGTACAAAGAAGAAGAAATACAGGAGTTGGAGAGAGAAGCTGAAGCTCATGTTCAATTTGAAGAAGGTCCCTCAGAAAAGATCCTTGCCCTTGGTGAAGTCATTGCAGGAGAAGAATTCAAGGAGAAAAGGAAGAACATGCTTTACAATCTCACCGTGGAACTGGAGGTTCCAGGAGTACAACGAATCCAACTACGCGCAATCCTTGATACAGGTGCAACCACTTGCGTCGTAGATGCTGACTCCGTCCCAGATGACGCCTTGGAAGAAAATACCTATACTGTTGAGTTCAACGGTATAAATTCAAAGTCAAAGGCAAACAAGAAGTTAAAGGGTGGAAAAATGTATATAGGGGATAATTGGTTTCGGATCCCTTATACATATAGTTTCCCATTCAAACTTGGAGGAAGAATTCAGATGATTATCGGGTGCAACTTCATTCGAGCAATGTATGGAGGAGTACGTATCGAAGGAGACAATGTTACATTCTACAAGAATGTAATAACAATTCAAACCCGTCAATCAGTGAACCTCCTGGAAGAACTTGAAGAGGAAGAGGATTTTACAGTGGATCATTATTATGAGCCTTCAACTGAATGGCTATTTCATTCCACTCATATCAATCCTCATTTTGAGCAGCAATTTGAAGAATTGATGATGCAGCTCAAAACCTGTGGAATCATAGGCGAAGACCCTATGAAATACTGGTCGCACAATCAGATTACCTGCAAATTGGACCTGAAGAATCCTGATTTCACAATCAATGATCGTCCAATGAAACACATAACTCCGGCAATGAAGGAAAGTTTTAAGAAGCACATTGATCAGCTTCTACAATTGAAGGTAATCCGGCCAAGTAAAAGTCGACATCGTACCACAGCCTTCATCGTAAATTCTGGTACGTACATTGATCCAGTCACGAAGGAAGAAAAGCGTGGCAAGGAGCGAATGGTGTGTAATTATAAAAGGTTAAATGATAATACACACAAGGATCAATACAGTCTACCTGGTATAAATACCATAATGGCAAAGGTTGGCCATAGCCGTATTTATTCCAAGTTCGACTTAAAAAGCGGATTTCATCAGGTTGCCATGCACCCTGATTCAATTGATTGGACTGCTTTCTGGACACCCCTGGGGTTGTATGAATGGCTAGTCATGCCATTTGGATTGAAAAATGCTCCAGCAGTCTTTCAGAGGAAAATGGATTTATGCTTCAAAGGCACTGAAGACTACATTGCCGTCTACATCGATGATATTTTGGTTTTCTCTCCAGATGAAAAGACGCATGTGAAGCACATAAAGTCCATGATGGAAATTTGTAAGAAGAACGGGCTTATCCTAAGCCCAACAAAGATGAAAATTGCCAAAGCCCAAATGGATTTTCTTGGGTCAACAATTGGGGAAGGGAAGATAAAGCTACAACCACATGTTGTAACCAAGGTAGCCCAATTTCCAGAAGAAACGCTCAAAGAGACTAAGGGCTTACGTTCTTGGCTGGGCCTCCTCAATTATGCCAGGCAATATATTAAAGATTTGGGCCGTATGCTAAGCCCATTATACTCAAAGGTCAGCCCAAATGGAGAAAAGAGGCTGAATGCCCAAGATTGGGAGCTGATCCATAAGATCAAGGCTAAGATCCAGAAATTGCCTGATCTGTCTATTCCTCCATCACAGTGTGCCATTATCCTTGAAACAGATGGATGCATGGAAGGGTGGGGAGGAATCTGTAAATGGAAACTAGCTGCTAAAGACCCACGATCAACGGAGCAGATTTGTGCATACGCTAGTGGAAAGTTTAATCCGATTAAATCCACTATTGACGCTGAAATCTACGCATGCATGAATTCCCTTGAATCCTTCAAGATTTATTATCTTGATAAACAGCAGCTTACTCTTAGAACTGATTGTCAGGTCATAATCAGTTTCTTCAATAAGACAGTGGATCATAAACCATCACGGTCCAGATGGATAGCCTTCACGGATTACATTACTGGCTTAGGCATAGATGTGTCATTAGAACATATTAATGGTTCTGATAATACTCTTGCTGACGCATTATCCAGGCTTGTATATTCACTGTTTTCTATTACAGAATGGCCAACCAAGGAGGAGCCGGAAGATATGGAGGTGTTAATCGGCCTCCAGCAACTCGAAGAACTTATCCAGCCCTTCAGAGACATGAACGGATCATCCTCTCTCAGACAGAGCCATCAAGTCGCTGGATTGATCCTCAATTTCATCCCATTGCTGTACGATACCAGTCTCTCATGCAGCGGATTGAAGATAGACTCACCTATGACTCAGGTATCTCCTTTGATGAAATGGCAGAAATCCAGGCCAGTCTCGCCGAAGAAGAGGACAACGCCATTGGACAGGCAAGAACAGCAGTTCAGATGTTTGTTAGTATCAGAGAAAATTCCTCTTAAGATCAACAGTTCAATTCCACATCCCACCAATATTGAACACACCTTTTCCATTATTAAATTGCAAGCTAGGCAGAAAACCCGGGGAGATAACTACTTGTTATGTATATACACTAATCCCGACCTCACTCAACAGTTTGAATTTCAAACTAACACCTTTATGAAAAGTACATGCCAGCAGAACATTCTGGGTTAGAGAGAAGGCAATGCCTCAATGTATCTGCCCTGCCCTAAACTTTTATTCAAGTATATGAAGAAGATGAGATATAATTCTTGAGAGTCCCATGCACGCACAGACAGAATACCTGTTCAGGCTTAATGCCACAAGCTTCACGAGTAGTTTTCTCCAAATAATCTCTGGCAATGTGCATTTTCTCATCAGTGATATACCCAGCAAGGGCAACAACCTCCATTCTGTCCAAGAGAGGATTGGGAATCATTTCTACAACATTTGCTGTACATACAAACAGAACCTGAAAAGAAAAACACAAGCATAAAGCATAAATGTCAAAAATCACCTTATAAAGTCATTTGAAATAACTCATGAATTAGCAAAATAGAAAAGAATGCCAAATCACTAACCGCAGTTTAAGATCGACTGATGCATATGAACAACAAAAAATCGGTATATGAACAGCACTATTTCAGACAATCAAAGATAGACAACAATGTGAACATGACACCTTAGTTGAACTTCAACTATACAGTTACTATGAGTACACTTATAATTCATAGTATAGGGAGAAAACCATAACTCATCTTTCTGATAAGATATTTCAATGTCATCTCAAACAAGCTTTTTTAGTGGATGAACTCAAAATAGGTGCAGTAAAATTTTACAACAATTTCTAGAACCATTGGCCATTAGCTTGGGGATTTATCTGCCAACCGAAAGGAGAACTGTCAAGTTCAGGCCTAGTTGAGATCGAGAACCAAAATTTCATTTTGATATGTTATTTCGGACTTAGTTCCATATATTATAGAGCAGAATTGCGAAAAAAGATTCATGTAGCTAACTCTACTTGATTAGAAAACAAGACTTAGTTTGGTTTTGTGTCGTCTTGGTATGTTGTTTCAGACATAGATGCTCGAATCAGAGGGGGAGCAGCAGGGTAGGGACACAGGAGCGTGGCACATAGAAGAGTCTAAATTTGGGAGTACCTAGGAGAATGTTAATGTATTTTACATGCAAATATATTGTAAGAAATATTTTTGTTGCTTAGTTATAATATAGAGATTAAGTACCTATATTTCATTACCAGTGACACAAGTAGACATAAATGTAGCCAATTCTAATAACAAAAGCAACAATTCGTCACCAATAATATATATATACATCTTTACTCCTCAATCCTCACATAACCCTCATTGAAAGATATATTAAAAAAAATTTATCTCTTTTAATTCTTAAGAGAAAAGCCAAAATCTAAAATAAATGCGTTTCTTCACAAATTTTATATTGTCTTTGTAAATTTTCATTTATTTATTTGGGGTTCATATATTTGAGTGATCCCATCCCAATTGGGAACCACGATCCTATCCCAACAAGAATGCAGTTCTAACAAGAAAAAAATCTGTATCCTTCAGTTTCTATGTGGTAAGCCAAAATTTAAGATAAATATGTCTCTTCAAAAAATTTCTTTTGTCTTTATAGTTTTTCTTTTGGGATTCATATATTTGAGTGGTCCCATCCCTATTAGGAACCATGATTCTATCCCAACAAGAATGTGATTCTAACAGGATTCTTACTTTAAACTGCGGAATCATGATTCTAGATAGAAAACATCACCCCTATTACAAGATTCCTGCAATAAGTATTTAGACTACGAAGCATCAACACAAACAAGCAACATGCCGACATGTATCTAATTTCTGAAGTTAAAAAGAAAACGGATTATTAGGTATAAATCTACATTATTTTTCTCATCATTGGAACCTAAGTTATTTTGTTTATATTGTTTATATAGCTTGGAAATGAAAAACATTTTGAAAACACAAGGGAAATGACAAAAGATTGGGGCCGTATAAAAATATTTGAAAAGAAAACTAAAGTCTATATAAATATTAATACATTCTCAATAATTAATTAATGAATTGAACATATTGGGGTCTATGAATATTAGAAGCTCATAACCAAAGGTTTGTAGGCAAGTTTGGAAATGCTGTTTTTCATTGTAAGAAAAAAAAACATTTTAAAAAAATACAAAATTCTAGTAATAGTAGACTAGTAGAGATGAAAAAAAAGAAAAGAAAAGAAAAAAGCACCGGCAACAATCTTTATTTAAAATAAAATAAAATAAAAACGACTACTTGGCGACAAGAAAGAAAGAGAATAAGTGACTTAGTCGTGCTTGTTCCATCTTCTCCTCTCTATCTATTCTCTTCTCCTTTCTAGTTTCATGATTCTCTAAAAAATTATTTTGAATATTAGAAGCTCATAACCAAAGGATATGTTACATGGACTCGAGCACAAGTATCGGGTGCGAGGTGTGTATCCAAGCGTTAGACTTTCATAAATTTAAATCTTAGGATCTTGGGATACATATCTAAAATTGGATATAGGTATACGGACGCATCATATACACATATATATTGCATATTATATAATATTCTTAGATGAAATGTTGTAATTAATATAGAAATATACTTGAAATTGAATAGGATTCAGGAAAAATATGAAATTTCTATATTTAATTCATGTGAGAGGTTAAAAATATTGCTTTACTAGCAAATGTTGTAACAAATTAAAAGATCCGAGTGTCTAAATTAGGTACGAACAAGTGTCAGACACATATCCCATACCCTTACCCATGTCATATCCGGTGGACACGGGTACCATGGGAGAAATAGAAGAGTCCCTTTAACACAAACCAAAGGTTTATAGACATAGTTTGGAAATGGGGTTTTCCATTGTAAGGGAAAAAAAAAAAAAAAAAAAAGAAGTTAAAATACAAAATTCTAGTAGTAGTCTAGTAGAGATGAAAAAAAAGAAAAAGAAAAGAAAAGATAAGAAGAAAGCACTGGCAACAATCTTCATTTAAAAGAAAAACACTACTTGGCAACAAGAAAAAAAGAGAATAAGTGACTTAATCGTGCTTGTTCCACCTTCTCCTCTCTATCTATTCTCTTCTCCTTTCTAGTTTCATGATTCTCTAACAAATTTTTTTGTTATCAAATCTTTGATTTTGACAAAAAGACACAAATAGAAATGACCATTATTAGACATCATAATAGGTGTTGAAACGACTCATTTTTTTTTTTTTTTTTTTGGAGCAAAAACGACTCATTGTTTTCAATATATTTAGAAATATAAAATTTCAATATTCCATTAAGTTTTTTGCTTTGGTTTCCTAGGAAAGAAAAACATTTCGACCATTTCGATGAAAACAAAACAAAATTTTGTTCCTTGGTTGACATATAAGAGGGTCATGTACTTGTGGATGTGTGAATCTCCGTCTGTTTTTTATTCATTAAGGGAAAATGAAAATCTCTAGGTGTGCATGCAGATATGTCTTTGTTTATTTCTCTCTCAATGGGAAAATAGGAGAAGCACAAGGAAATTCCTTTCTTTAAAAATAAAAATAAAAAGTTGGACTAAAACAGATTTAAATTATCACAGTTCAGGATGTAGGCTCAAATGGCTAAAAGTCCACAGATTTTGATGTACAGAATGCTGTAGCTTTTCTGTATAAGGGTTGGCCACCCCCTGGTGCCTTTCTTAATGAATTTATACATTTAGTGATCTAAAAAAAAGACTAAAAGTCAACGTGAAATCTTGAAATCCTACCATCTTAGATTACTTCATTACGAAAATTACACAAATATGAAGAAATTTGACAAAGAAACAATAACACAATTTGGCAAAGCTTGTTAGGTTTAAAGCTGGGTCCAGACTATATGATAATGAAGCTAAACATGCCAAACACAACACTATGAATTGATAGTTCTGCAGAACACTTGGGGAAAATGAGAACTTCCACTTGTATGACAAATATAATGGATGGAAACCTGCACCACAAAAACTAACCTTGGATAAGTCTATTGGAACATCAAGATAGTGATCTAGAAAATTTGCATTTTGCTCTGGATCAAGGAGTTCCAACATAGCACTTGCCGGATCACCTGCATGTCCTCTTCCCAACTGCCACAAGGAAAAACAAAAAACAAAAAAACCAACAAAAAAGTCATTTCTAAGATGCTACTACAAATAATCATCACAAATATATAGAAGCATTGATAGTCGGTCAGAAACCAATTTTGTCCATAATAGAAGTACAGTTGTGCTCTACACCCAACGAAAACCAATCCTGAACTTTAGAAGGTACCAAAACGACAAAGCCATTTGGTTGTCGATGTTATTAAACCTGCCATATAATACCTTGTCAATCTCATCAATCAGGACAAGAGGGTTAGCCGTTCCCACATTTTTCAGGCATTGAACCATCTTTCCTGGCATTGCACCAATATAGGTTCGACGATGCCCCTGCATGTAGTTTTGGAAGTTAATAATACAAAATGATATCTGCATAACAATGTTTAATCATGTATTGATGTTCATCCCAGTTTCAAAAGTTATGATCTACCTTGATTTCAGCAACATCAGACAATCCTCCTACAGAAAATCGGTAGAACTTACGGTTCAAAGCACGTGCAATAGAGCGACCAATGCTAGTTTTGCCCACACCAGGAGGGCCAGAGAGACAGATGATTTTTCCTGTGATTAATCAGGGAAAAGTATCAGCAATATTTACCCAACAGTTTTAAATCACAGAAATGCAAAGAAAACATTTGCAATCCCTGAAGAAACCATCAAATATTTCACTAAGAAAATGTTATACTCTCAAAATTACAAAATATATTTGTTAGTGATTATGTGGTAACAACAGTTAACAATAGTTTAGAAGGGGTATTCTTGTACTTTCAATATATGTTTCACATATAAATAATATTAAAGAGAGCGACATGATGTTCTCATTCAGCCTAAGTTTTTTGATTTTTCTACAAAACAACATGGAATCAGACCAGCAACTGTATTGGACCTAGGGCGTCTTTAGTGATATGCTATTGTCAGTACAATAGTATCCTGAAGTCATCACAATCTGACACCATATTTGGGTGTGCAGGCTATAGTTTTCAAACCGGGGTTCGAATTATGAATCGAAATAGACTTGTACCGAATCACGAATCGTAAAGATTCGGACACTTTTTTAAATTATATAAAAAAGATATATCTACACATTTACATATTAAATATATCCAATAAATATGAAATATTTAGACTTAAATCAATGAAAATGTTGTTTTTAATGATGATCACGTGGTCTAGGCAAAAAGTTAACACGGGTTCCCATGTTCACAACTTTACCTTTTCCCTTTTAGATACTATCTAAGTTACACGGACGCGGGTACGAGGATCGGGTGCGGGTGCGTATCTAAGGGTCAGACACTTCAAAATTAAAAATTAAGGATACGTGGATATGTATCCAAATTTGGATACGGGTACGGGGATACGTTAAATATATATATTTTTTTTAAATATAGTTAAAGACAAATTTTCAATTTCTAAGTAACAATAACTCAACAACAATATTTTTAACATTTTACAAAGTTAAAAAATCAAATTCTTCAAACTTAATCAAAAATCTCACTTGATGCTTTAAAAAAAATCATTTTGTAAATGCAAGCACTTGGATAATTTGAGAGTAAATTGGGAGGGAGAAAGTCAAAAGATGACATATAGTAATTCTAAAAACCTTAAAAAGATTGTGTGAACCTTTTTCCAACAATAAAAAACTAAAAAAGAAAGCCAAACATCGATTTTAACGAATTGAATTGATTCATGATTCACCGATTCGGTTCACCGACTCACCTACAATTCACAACTATTTGCGATTCATGCAATCTGTTCGTATCGATTTCCCACTGAATTGAATCAAATTGTACGATTCTAATAACAGAGGTGCAGCCACTTATTCCTCTGGAAAAGTTCCATACAAATCCAAATTTGTTTTCCATAGTTTTACTGCATTTTATGACTGTATTTTGTTTAGTTACAGAATCCTTCAAGTAGATATGATATGCTGCTTCCTTATGGACACTAATTGAGATGCCACCATAAAGAGATGCAATTCAGGTGGGCTCAATAATTGGGATACCACCATAAAGAGATGCAACTCAGGAGGGCTTAATTCTTCCCAACCCAAGACTGACCCGAGTCTTGATCAAGCATCAACATCTTTTCCTAAACTTAGACCAGTTCTGGGCTAGAAAACTGTAACCCAACCTGAATTCCAGCTGAGATTGGGCAATGTCCAAGCAACCTAACCTAACTAGAAACAAGGGCTGTTCACGGAAACTGGTCCGGTCCATACAGTTCAGATTGGTTCTGTGCAAAACTGGTCCAGTCCTGGTTTAGTAAATGCTGAGATACATAGATGCTTCAGTTCATGAATTGCCTCAAAACCCGCGGTTTGAACTGAACCAAACCGGTTTTTAAAGTACATATATTTATTTTATAAACCTAGTTTCTCATACTCATTCTGGCCTCTTTGTCTCTCAGTTTATGTCACTCCTCCATTCTCTGTCACTATCAGTGTGCCTACTCTCATTCCTCCACTGCCTTTGCTCCCATTTGCCACCACTGAGGACAATCGATCACACCTCTACCTGGTCTGTTCTGTTAGTATTGTTTTGTAGCTGCTCCTCCATCTCTCTCAGTGCACATCACACCTTCACCTTTACAGCCCAAAACACCACCACCTGCCTTCAACCACCACTGACAACTCTTTCTGGCACGGTCACACCTCCACGTAATCTGATACTCCAATTGGTGAGCAATTTGTTGTATTTCTTCAATTTTTAGTAAAGAGAATTTCTAAGTTAGGACTTTTCTGTTAACCTTTCCGATTTAGGGTTTTTTTTTTTTTTTTTTTAAGTTTAATTGTTGCAAACTATTTGATTGTTTGTATTTATCTGAAATTGTGTTTATCCCCTTATTAAGGTGATGCTTGATAATCCAATTAAGAACTTAAAACTAAATGTATTACGTTATCACTTATAAGAACATATAGCCTTCAATATGGTATCAATATTCCTTTTAAATTTAAACACAAAACCCTAATTCCTATCACTTTCTTCATTGCCCACAATAGCCCATTCCAACCCCTTGCTTTAATGCAACACTGCAAGTATGACCTCCTCCATTGTTGTATCTTATACAAGTACCGCCTGAGGCTGAAGTGAGTTAGGTCAATGCTAGATAGACTCTACTAGACCATGAGCTACACCTAAACCCTATCCCAACCTGACCCACCTCCTAAGTTGCAGAATTTTGAACAATTCAACCCCAACCCCCCAAAAACACATAAAGAAAGAAGAGGGAGAAATATTGAGACGTACTTATAAATAATAAAAAAGAAGGAAATGTTAAGCAACCCACCATGATCTCATGGGATCTTTATTTCAGATCTATCCCAAGCAAAACTTTTAGAAAGGGTCAAAAAAATCCATAAACCCATAATTTATTTCATAAATCAAGGGAAACCAAGGAAAAGAGGAGAAGGAATTGAGGAAGGGGTGGAGAGAGGGAGGGAGGGAAAAAAAAAACTCACATTTGTTCCAAATAAACAAAGGACAATAAGAATGATGAATACAATGATGATAAAGTTGGCAAAAGAAACAATGAAGGCAGAGTGGCACGCTTTCAACACGCCAATCAACTGTTAGTCCTTCATTACAACACCCTTTTGTCTTTCTCTACTCTCTACTCTCTCCTCTATCTCTTCTCTCTACTCTCTCCTCTATCTCTTCTTTTTCTCAAAGAAACTTTGATCACTAATTTGCATTTTTTTACAGAAATTTATAAGCAGTTGCAAGCTTTTCTCAGATATCCCCATCTAAAGGTAAAAGGGTTGTGAGCTTTCCTCAAGATTTCCCAAGGTTCCTATCCAAAAGTGGAAGGATTTCAAGCAAAATGATGATATTCTGGACAAAACATGCAAAAACAACTTCATTTCAGTCAAAACCATGAATTTCTCATCTCATCTCCATATGGTTTGTGTGCCAGTTTCTCTCAAATTCGAAAATTCCATGAAAAAAAATTAGGAGAAGAAGATGCACTTATCCCTTATGGTTTGACCCTAGAGCACTCCTCATGACATGTAAAAATAGCCAATTTGCCCTCATGTGACTTTAGCCACCCGAACTCGTTAGTAGTATAAAAAGACAATTATACCCTATTTGTCTTCTTCTGATTCTTCTTCAAAAAAGCAATCAGATTTGGATGGCTTGATAGCCGCCACTAGTGAAGCAAAGTAAAACAATGGAAACAACATTTTTCAGTTTCTAACTTAATATATATGTAATGTACTACCTACCCAAAAAAATATATGTAATGTATATATACATATGCACGGGTGCACACACACACACACATATCCACATGTGAAGGATGAATCAAGGAGAGAAAGGGGTGGTGGAGGAGAGAGGGGGTGATGCGGAGGTAAGGGAGGTGGGGGGTGGCACAGGTGGATAGAGTGGCAAGCAGGGAAGGAGAGAGAAGATAGTGAGGGGTGGTGAGAGGGGGTAGTGGGTTTAGAATTAGGGTTTTCACGTGGGTTAGAGGAGGAAGATAAAGATAAGGAATAGTCTGTATCAAAATTTGATGTCAATTTTTTCTTGTCAACTCTCAAAATATGCACATGTGGCACAATTTCCGTCAACTTGGACGGAATGCTTAATTGTAGGGTAGTGAAGTAAAAAAAGGGCCAAAACCACGTGAAGTCATTTTAGCCTTTTAAAATATCAAAAAGGTGAAATGGAAAGGGGTCAAACCACAGGGTAAAGTGGATTTTGCCCAAAATAAAATAGAAGAAATTTTGTATTTATTGTCCAACAGGGGTCCAGTACAAGAAGATGTATAATAAAGATTAAACAACAGTCGGATCATAACGGCAAGCAACAAATAAAAAATAGTGCTATATAATAGGCTGCCCTCATTACTGTGTACAAGATCCTTCCCCCCAATCGCAATGAAAAAAAAATCTCAATTTATTCATAGTTAAAAGTCAATCTATAGACTATTTTATCTGTAATCAGTAAGTGATACTGCATTTATTTGTCTTGCTATGTAAAATATATAATGTCAATCAATGCTAAGAGACACGATCCAATTGAATGAGTCTAAAAATTTAGGCAAAATCAAAAGAACAGAAAGAGAGAATAGAGAACCAACCTTGTGAAGTTCCTCGGAGCTTTCCCACGGCTATGAATTCTAATATCCTTTCCTTGATGTCAGTTAATCCATAATGGTCTTCATCGAGAATTTTTTGTGCCCGAAGGACATCAAAGTTCTCATCGCTGCATTTAAATCAGATGCATAGAAGATAAATATACGATTGTATTTGTGTTAATAAGTTCTAGGTTAACACTTCACTTCCTAATGCATTTATTTCCACAAGCCAACAAAAGATCAGGTAAAAATAACTTTGTAGAGAAAGAATTCAATGGAGAGGTCATTGGTGCAATGTTGAATTTAGAATAGCCACGACATAGAGTAACATAGACCATTAGACGTACCATGAACCAAACAGATTGTATAAGAACCTTGTCAAACTACTACTGCTGCTCGTAGCAGTATAAATAGTACAAGAACTCAACAGCAACTCTAAGTGTTTAATGTGCCATTAAAATGCAGAATTACATTTTTATATTTTATTAAATGAGAAAAATTACTTTTTCTTTTTATTTGGTACAAGGAAAATTACTTTATACCAATAGTCCATTAAAGGAGTAACCATGTATTGCCAACCAAAGCCAACCAAAGACATAAGTCTGAGCAAGAACCTACGACAATCCATAAACTACTGCTGCATCAGCCTACATATTATTTACTTTGTATACAACTTAACAGGGAATTTATTGAATCTAAACAGTACGAAGTAATATGAGTACAAACCCACACTATGAACTCCAAAGACAGAAGAACAAACATTAACATACAAAATTCAATTAAGAGTTCCCATATTTTCTGTTTCTCAATATATGTACTTAAAAAAATACATTTTAAAAGAAAACATGAGTGCTTAAAAATCAGCAGTGATAGAAGCAAATTAAAATCACGAAGTATTTACAAAGACAGCGTCAAATAGTGGAAATAAATAATTCTGTTCTAACCAAAATACTTAGGTAGATCATAATTCAACAAATTATATAAACAGCTTGCCAAACTTTCCAATTTGAGCATGATGGCATTTAGCCAAATAGAAAAGGTTCCCAGCAGAAAATTAGACAGACGGATGAAAAAGGACTGATGTACAAACCTGTAATTACCCCAAGGCAATGCGGTCAGCCAATCAAGATAATTACGTGTCACGTTAAATTCACTTGAACTGGCCTCTAACAGCTGAAGTTTTGTCAGTTCTTCTTCTATAACTTGCAATACATGAGGTGGGCATCTGTCCTTATTTGGCTCAATCCTTTCCCTAAACTTTGCTGCAGCAGAGGTACAAACGAGGATCGTTCCAAATCAATGCCGATATGCAGTTACATCACGTCCAAAATACAACATTCAATTAAGGGTGGTGTAAACAAGCCAACCCAGGGCAAAAATCGTAGAGCAGAGCTCGGTTGACCTCACACTATCTTTATAGCTGGCTCGAGCTCAAACCAAATTCAGCAAAGGTGATCAAGCTCCACTTGACAAAAAAATCCAGGTTACAAGTTTTGCCAAATTTCATGATTGGATTAAAGTAACATAGTATTATATTATGAAGTGATTTTGGAAAGAAAAAACAACAAAAAAAAAAATAAAGGAAAGAAAGAAAACTACTATAGTGGTTTTCAAGGAGTGTTGCCATGTTTCTATTGGCCAAAGACCTAGCATAAAGACACTTTCAAGCAAAGGACACTTTTCCAAATTTCTTTCCACAAAAATTCAAACAAAAGAAAATGTGTAATATTTTTGGTCCAAAGAACTTATCATATGACAGGACACGTCTCAATCATTCCTTTCTAGAATTCTGTATTCAAGTAATCTATACCTTCAATTACAAATTAATCAGAACAAGAATTTAATCAACATCTTCATAAGAATTGCTGAACCAGCCAAGTTGAGGATGTAAATGATTGAGCTCAACTTCTCTCAGTAATGGGATGCATTTTTAAGCCTAGTTTGAACAGGCTTATAACAGGTGAAGCATGAGCAGCTTGTTTCATCTTTCAAATGTCATATTTATCCAGCTGAAGGCTGGATTTATTCTCAAAGTCAAACTGAGTCACCACAACACAAGATTGGAAGCATGCATGATATGAACAGCTTTGGTAAACTTGCTGTGAGGATACAAGTTGATTTTGTGGTGGGTTTTGTGGCTATGAAAAGTTTGCTAGGTTTTAGGGTTCTTCTAAGATGAAGAAAGGATCAAATGTTTGGAGAGGAACAAGGCTAGAATTAGAATTCATTTCTAGAAGGCAGGTTGCCGGATCCTCTGGACAGCTGCTGTTTTGGGATGTTTCAAGCGTTAGTAATTAAAAGGGCCAAAAGTAGGGGAATAGATTAAGGTTGATTGTTAATCAAGACCTAATGGTTTGGAGTCTGAAAATGGGACTTTTTACGGCTGACAGTACCCCAGCAACAGTAATTTTACCTAAGAGAAGACAAAAATCTACAAATTCTACCTAAACTTCCATAGGAATTACCCTGAAGGTAAGTCTAAACAAAGCATTACATAAAGTTTCAAAAGCTTCACACAAATTCTCAAACTCTCAATTCTAATGAATAACAAGATTATACAAGTATATATAGGTTGGTGGACTCTCCTAACTCCATTAGTATCTTTTTATAAACTTTTTCCAGTAAGTGACCTAACCGATTTTCATTTGATTCAGCCCTTATGCCCAGGCCTAAGCCATGATTTGAACCAACCTGTTTAGCACGAAACCCAAATCATGTTTTAATTCTACCCATGACTGCTAAGGTAACTAAAGTGACTGACCCATTTTCCCAGATTGATATGATATACCTCCTGATTCTACAAGAACTATGACTAAAATTAATAAACTAAAAACTTTGACTAACTAAAATATTCTAGACCTAATAAAGACATATAAGACCCAATAACAATATTCACCAATAATACAACCCATGGACTCATTCTGGAACCCACATCCAGCAAAACTTAACCAAACTCTCTTTTTCGTAAGTAATATTACCAAACTATCCTTCACTCTTAAAACATAATAAAACATAAATCAATCCAACAACATTCTAACTCAAAAAGTCCGTACAAATAAGACTCAAGCTAAGAAGCATGGACACTCCAAAATAGGTACCGCGTCCAACACATGTCAGACACCGACAAGAAACAAGCATGCCACCTAGCGTACCAGTTTTTCTCATTGTTTTTTTTTTTTCTTTTTTTTTTTTGGCAAGTAAAAAAACAAGAGTGGGGGAAATAAAAATACATCCATATACATCGATACCTTTCATATCTCGGTACCCTAAAATCTATGAAGCACGGACACAGACGCAGACACAGCAATTTCAAAAACATGAGGAAATGGACACGGCAGGGGACACAGCAACTTTTTTTATTTTTTTGAATATATATGTATTTGCAATGTAAATTAATATTAATTTAATGTATATATAAAAGTCACTACATTTAAATACATAAATAGAAAAAGAAAAAAACTAATTTAAAGAGATATATAATATATTTATTATAAATAATATATAATAATATTTCCCATATTTATTATAGATAGATAGAGGAGAGAAATGAGATGGAAAGAGAGAGAGAGAGAGAGAGACGACTAATACAAAAAAAAAAAGATAGAGAGACGACAAGAGAAAGAGAGAGAGAGACGACTAATACAAAAAAAAAGATAGAGAGACGACAAGAGAGAGAGAGAGAGAGAGACAACAATATAGAAGACGAAGCGAGAAAGAGAGACGACGACACAGAAGACGAAACGACAGAGAGCGACAGAGAGAGAGAGAGAGAGATCATGACAGAAGACGAAGTGAGAGAGAGACGACGATGAGAGAGAGACGAGAGGAGAGACAAGCCGAGAGGCAAGAAAGACTTACTAGACTGCAGATGGAGTTCAATGGAGATAAAGCTTGATGGAGAGATCAATCAAATGCCTTCCTCATACAGGTTCTTTGTTTCTCTTCTCTCTTTTTTCTTTTTCTTCTAATTTTGGATTAGGTTTCGTCTTCTCTTTTCAAATTAGGGATTTGATTTGGGGCTTTTCGTGTCCCTTATCGTGTCCCTTTCCCAAAAAAAAACCGTACTTGTCTATGGCGTGTCCCCGCGTCTGACACCGCTACGGCACCAGTTCTGTAGTGTCCATGCTTCATAGCCTAAAATTATATATTCATATACATAGCAAATAAAAATATTTAAATTTTTTTTTTTAATCGCAGTATCACTTGTCCATACCTGTGTTCGTGTTCATGGCCCTGTTTGGTAGAACTGTGGGAAAGTGATTATAACTTATAGTCTAACAATTTATAACTTATAGCGGTGAACATAAGCTGATTTTTTACTTATAAATTAAGCTTCTCCTCCCCCACTCAAAGAATAAGTTGATTTTTGACTTACAAAAAGCTATAAGCTGTATTGTTAAGCTGAACCAAACACATCCAAGTAGCTTAAATTAAGCTAAAAGCTGAAATAAGCTGGAAATAAACCCTACCAAACAAGGCCCATGTTCGTGTCCATGTTTTTAGAACTCAAGTTAAAACTAGAAAAGTTTATCAAACATCCAAAGCATGCTTCATGCGACATTCTAGATCTGCCCTCTTTTTTCCATGTTTGGCATCAATGTAGCATGGTCAACTCTAGAGTTCATGGATCTAACTTAACAAATCTTGCAAGTATGTATGCGAATTGATAGAAAATCCATACCATCTGAACTAGTAGTAATTTTTCTAACCCAAATATGTCAAGTATTCATTGCAATTCAGAAGGACTGGACAAATAACATCATCCAATTTGATTAACATCATGACCTTCAATGTCTACGAATGTTTGTTTGGGAATGCACTATTCTGAAAGTTGATAGCAGGTGTTACAAAACACCTTTAGTGCAAGTACCAAGTCAATCACTAGAGAGGAGAATCCAACAATCATCTAGTTCTGATGCAAATAAACTAGAAAGGAACTAACCAGAAAGTGCTGTTTTGTCATCAGTCTCCAGCCCCAGTTCCTGCATCAAGGCAAACAAGTTTGTATTCCAAAAAGGCTCTTATTTGATATAAGCAAATTTAATAAACATCAACCTTAACAACAAAAAACTCCATGCGAAAATATTGTTCAGTGTTATTTCGTACATCACTTGTGGAGATGCAAGAAGAAAAATTAAACATGGAGAAATAAACCCAAAAAAAAAATGCAGCATAAAGGAGTATGATGCCAAAGCTTCTCGCACCTTCTTTATGGCCTTAAGCTGCTCATTCAACAAGTACCGGCGCTGCTCACCACTTATTTTTTCTTCAATTGCTTTTGCTATAGATTCCTAATAATACTCAGAAAAATTAATGAAACAAATTGGCATTCAACAATCATGAACAGCTTTGGCATAAAACCACTAGCAGGGCATACCTGAATCTTACTGATCTCCATTTCTTTCTTCACTAATTCCAGAGTAAGTTTTAACCGTTTATAGACCTGAAATGGTAAATATTACAGAGTTACAAGTCATCTGTGAATTAGCAGATATATAAATCACACTAGGGACACAATTTTTACACATCTTTTACGGCGGACTAAAGATTAGGAACCCATCCATCACGAAACAAAAATGTTTGTTCAGGAAGGACTGACCATACAAGGTTCCAAACCAAAGGGAAAAAAAAAACTAATTTCTAGATATTATTTTGCTATGAAGCAATAGAATCATAGGCCAGTTAGAATGGAAAAAAGAAGTTTAGTTCATTGAGAAAAACTTTATCAATTGCATATGCTACTTACATCTAACTCTTCAAGCACTTGCTGGCACTGCAATTTGTTTGCACCAGATATTGCTGCTCCAAAATCTGCTAATCTTGAATAATTGAAATCACCTATGTGCTGCATCGTAGGCCAGTTAGAAAGGAAAAAAGAAGTTTAGTTCATTGAGAAAAACTTTATCAATTGCATATGCTACTTACATCTAACTCTTCAAGCACTTGCTGGCACTGCAATTTGTTTGCACCAGATATTGCTGCTCCAAAATCTGCTAATCTTGAATAATTGAAATCACCTATGTGCTGCATATATTGAGGAAGGAAACAGGACGATATATTCATTACTGATTTGTAAAAATCAACTGCTCAAATAATTCATAGTCCTTGATGAACAAAATATATCTATTCAATGATATACATAAACATCAGGTTTTTCTCAGAGTTTATACAAGCTAAAATGAAGTTCAATCGAAAACTTATTTGGTTAATTTTATAGAATAAGAAAAACACATTCAAATATTGTGCAACAGTTAGTTCATGGGTTAGCATTTGATGTTACTGTGATCTCCAGACCATTACAATTCTCATTAAGTTTCTATATGAAAATACACTCCCCTTGTTGGTGATTTCATTGATGTGATAAACCGATTATTTTCCTTTATAACAACACTTGTTCAGAGGTTAGCATTTCCTTCCTAATTCTTCACCATCCTTTTCTTCTTTCTTTCTTTACAGTTACCCGGAAGCAATTCAGTTGCCAGGAATGCACAAACACAACATATGCGACAAGCTCCATGAACCAAGTTGAAAGATTAACCAAATGATTTAGATTATGCAATGAATGGCTCCCTCAAGTGAAAAAGAAGTATATTAAGCATCAACCACAAGATTCACTGGAAAATCCACAAAAGAAATGTTCCAACAAAGACAAGTTTTTCAAGAATTATGAAGAAAAATAGTAGTATAATCTTACTGACAAAATTCTGGAAGAAGGGGCACACCTGAGTATAAGTTTGAACATGATCTCTCCAAAGCGAACTTGTCTTCAAGACATCCCTCAGGGTTGATATAACCTCAAATGATGTGGCCTTTATAACATCATCATCTTTATTATATGGTTTATCCTACAACATAAAGAACAGCCTAATAAGAGAAAAGTAATTGCAAAAGAAATCTAGAATTTTGAAGGTAGCTTCAATTCTAGATTTAAGCCAACAATCCAATAGGAGGGGGAAAGTTAAAAGAAAAAAGTGCATGCCTTGAGATGATCTACTTTGACTGTAAGAGGATCCTCACTGACCTGCATAGAGGACAATTAATTCAGTCTAGGAAACTTCTGTTTTCTTTTTGTGACAAGTAATCTTGGAAGCTTGGTATCAACAAGAGGTTAAATATACCTCACCAAAATAAACAAAATTATTGATGGGAAAGATAATTGGATGCAAAAGATGCATACACCTAGAAACAATGAGTGCTATGGAAAATACAAATTTTCAGGACACCAAGTAGAACTTCCACTCACCACCTCCGTTATTCGAAGTCGTCTATGACCAATAAGGACTACCTGGTCTCCTTGGATACTTGTAATCTGGTGAATCACATTAGCATAAAACGGCATTAATCATGGATATGCATCTATTACTATTGCATTTCAACTCAATCAATGAATTTAAAGCAGAACTAGTAAATCGGTTATGAAACAATAAGTTTACCCAGGCTAAAAACTTAAACCCTAAGCAATAAGTTACCTGGGCCAATGTACCAACTTCATTAAGGCGGTTAAACAACTCTTTTCCTTTGAGCTCATATATGTTTTTGTCTGTATCTGAACCAGAAGCCACACTAGGATCAGTCCCTGGCTCATCCTTGAGAAGGAAAGCCCCAGCATATGGGGCCTGTCTTTTTCGACTTTCCACTAAAGCTGCTAGTAATTTAGGATCCTGCAAGGGAATAAATAAATAGGCAGAGGATCCATGGAGCCAAATTATTCCAATGCAAAAATCAAATAAAAATAGTAATTAAAAAAGTGATGCTAGCATGGCCTTTCCTTCTCATTATTCTTTTCGACAGAACAGCAAGTAATACGCAAGGCCACAATAAATTAATTGCAGCGACCACCAACCTAACAAATTAGAATAAATCTTCATGATCTGGTATAACTAATCGTCTAATGTTTTCATTTTATCAATTCTTCCGAAATTAAGTTTACCAGGCGATGTCCATTAAAATTTTAAATTATCATGAAATCTGGGTCTCTGAAGTCTGAAGCATTAGATGCTGACATTTTAAAATTTATAGGTCAAATCCACAAGGCAACATAAGACAAAGCACCATGAAATCTTTTAGATTTGGTGTCTCACAGAATCAAACTTCAAGTTATAATTTATAGAGATCATTGGACTTCCATTGTGTGCAACTGTGAAAGCTAGCACAAACATTTATGTAATCTTTCTGTTAGTTTATCCTTCAAAAAGTAGTACAATTTCATAATCAATGAACTAAAGATAAGCAGTCAAACCTTCACATATATTGGCATGTAGAATCCTGGAAATAACGGTCTATGAGGCAGTGGCAACGCCAAAACCTGCCCAGACAAACAAAAAAAAAGCATGTCAAAATATTTTTAAAAATGACACTCCAATATTTATTTATTTTTTTGATAAGCAAAAGTATTACAAGGACAAAACCCGTCTAAAGGGGTTGAACCCTATAAGGATACAGCCTGCCAATATATTATCCAGAAGGATGTAATGAACTATAAAATGCACAAAAGATTCAATTGAGAAGGGGCACTCCTCTCTCAACTAAAAAAAAAGGGGAAAGGAGCATAGAAAGGGGCCTTCTCCACCCTCCACCTAAGTTACATAGGAAAGGACCAAAGACATAACCCTCGAAAGATCTTGTATTGTGCTCCCTCCATATAGTCCACAAAATGCTTAAAGTTGTCATTTTCCAATTCTGTCTCTTTGATTTAAAGAGCAACAAGAACCCCAAGCTGATAAAAGCTTGCTCAAAGAAGCTGGCAATGCCCACGAGGCTATCCCACCAATCCACTTAATTAAAAGATGCGTATTAATACGACAACATTTTCCAAAAATTATAGGACACAATACGCTTGGAGCACATAAAAAAACATATATGTCAAATATATGAATAGTAACATAACATGAATTAAAATTAAAAACCATATATTTCGTAAGTTAACATTAAGATATCATTCATGTAACAATTGCATTCCAAAGAATGCAAACCAATTATAGAACATTGAAATATGCATGATATATTCATCTTATAAATGTTTCAAAATATATTTAGAATGCACAAGTGGGATCCCGAAGAATGCAAAACATTTTTACTATGAAGAGACTCATCACATAGTCATGTTCGGTGGATTCAAAAAGTGTTTCCTAAGGGTCTATAAAGTGTTCAATTTTATGAATTCAAATTTTTTAATTAAGGCACGTTGAAACAATGTTAGACACGCTTTTAGGAGTGTCCGCAAAGTGTCATGTCTAACACGACAAGCCTCCTCCATAGACCTGTCACGTGTACGTGCTTCTTAGAATTGCCAAGTGATGTACCATAAAATAGGATCCAAAGTTGCACAAACCTTGTAGACAAGAATTAATCAATAATTTTTTTTTTTTTTTGATAATCAACAACAAAAACTTTATTGATAATTCAAAAAAAGCAAGTGAGGATAAGGCATCCTCTTACAAATGAAACCCGTAACAAGCTAAACCCAAGCAAAAGCCTACATATCACACACTACCAACCAATTCCTAACTAACAAAAAAAGTAGGACTCCTTTAAATAAAGAGCTCCCCAACACCCAAAATCAAGTTAAGTGACAAACATTATCCCACAAACAGCCCACATCCCGGAATTTATCTTCAAACAACCTCGCATTTCTCTCCATCCATGGAACCCAAAAAGTTGCAAAGACAACACAAGACCATAGCACTTTGGCTCTCTTAGATCCTCCGAAAGTGAAAAATCAACTAGGAGCATATACGCACTCCCTTTTGGGGCTACCCACATAACATTTCCCAAAGAAAACAATCTATGCCATAAATTCAAAGCGGTTAGAGAATACAAGAATAGATGATCCACGGATCCCCCATTCTGACAACACATAATGCACCACTGAGGATTTAGAAAACGATTAGGTCTCCGTTTCTATAATAATTATAGACTAAGATAGTTTACAAAGATAGATTTAAATGGGGGAGAAGAAGAAGACAGATAGTTTACTAAGATAGATTTAATTGAGGAGAAAGAGAATAAGAAGAAGAAGATTGATTTAATTGGGGGGAAAGAGAAGAAGATTTTAGGAAGGAAACAGATGTTTGGAGGGTACAATTTATGTATGCCATCATTTGAACAGATTTAACAAGATGGCAATGGGTACACGTACAAGAGAGCTTACAGGTACTTCACATTTGTGCATCTAATAAACTTAGATCAAATGGCAATACTTTGGACATGTTAATAATTGGTAGCACTTTATCTTCACAAAGCAGTGCAAAGCGTCTATAAACTTAAATTATAGGTCAAAATTACTAACCTTTCCTTCTCAAAAACCAACAGCAGTCACTCAAACGATTGGGACCTTAATACAACAAAAAGACAAAATAACTACCTTTCATGGAAAGAGCATTACCTAAAGTGATGGGTTTGCACTTCACCATATGTATAAAAAATGATCAAAATCGCAAAAAGAATTAAATATTATCATAATCAAATTGAAACCGAAAGTTGGTCCGATGAGTGACATCACTGTTCCTCCTTTGGTGGGTTAATTGCCTTTTTCAGTTGATTAAAATCTTTATCTTTGAAAGCACCACAATCTCCTAAATTCTTGTGCCCTCATTCCATGAAAAATTATTTACATGAAATTTAAAAACTCAGAACTTCATGAGTTTACAGAGCCATATTAAAACCTTAGAAATATTTACTTGTCTTCTTCCAATCCAGATTCTAGTTTTTGAACTCATTTGTCAAGAACTTCATTTCCTAAAAATCTCTATCAAGCTACTTGAGAAATTCAGCTACCAAATCCCCAAATTCTCTGACCAAAAAACTAAATAAAAAAATATCCCCAAATTCTACATCCTTATGTGATCTGTTCCTTACACGTACCGTCCACAATTCTTGTTAACAGGTGCACATGGATAATATATTGTTAATGACTATGAAGCACGGACACCTCTCCGGGTCACATACGAGTGCCCAACACGAGTCGGACACACTCCGAACATGTGTCGGACACGTTTGAAAGAGTCAGGCATGGATCTACGAAGACGGATCTAAAGAGAATCGATTGAGATGGTTTGGTCATATTCAACGGAGACCAACTGAGGCAGTAGTGAAGAGATGCGATACTGTAACGGTAGATGGAAGTGTTAGGGGACGGGGTAGGCCTAGATTAACGTTGGTTAGCGTTGTAAATAGAGATATGGATCTACTTAATTTTACTAATGAAATGGCCTTTGATAGGGCCGTGTGGAGAAGAAGGATTCATGTAGCCGACCCCATTTGATGGGACTTAAGGCTTGGTTTGGTTTGGTTTGGTTTTACGGGTCCGCGTGTCCGTATCATGTCACGTGTCCGTGCTTCTTAGGTTAACGATGAGCTGCTCTACAAGTCTAAGCGGACAAAGTGAGCACATTTTAAGAATCTAATCAAGAAGCCTAGACTACTAAGCATGAGCAGGTAAAGTATGTGCATATATTATAATTATCAATTGGTATTGGGATTTGAATGTTGAACTTTCTTGTTTTGATACCATGTTAACAACTAACTCTACCTTGTTTGACAGGTATGATAGAGAAAATATGGCGGTTCTTTGTTTCCAAATGCAAGTGATAAGCGGGTTTGGCTCATTCATCCCATAGTCATCTTTTCAAGCAAATCCTTCTTTGATAAAATCATCAATGAGTCCAATGCTCTTTCTTTTCCCTGTCACAGAAGAATTTGAAAAGCGCTTGTGATGATCCTTGGCTCATGGAAGTGTATTGAAGAATGATCTTTTTCAATCAAGAAGACCTAATCGCTATCTTTGCCCTCGATGGTGCATTATGAGTGGGGGGAATGGGAAATCCATGAAGCATCTATTTTTGCATTGCTCCGTTGCATCAAATCTTTGGCATCGGCTTTTTCATTTGACCAAGTCACATTAGGTGGCTCCGAGAGTGTGTGCTCATATGCTCCTAGTTGAAGTTCAAGGTTTTGGGCACAATAAGAGAGCAAAAGTGCTGTGGCTGTGTTATTTTCGGCATCTTTTGGGAAATTTAGTTAGAAAGCAATGCAAGGATATTTGAGGACAAGTTTGAGGAAGTCGACTTGTTGTGAGACAAAGTGTGTCATTGGGCGTCGTTTTCGGCGTCTACTACAAAACATTTTGAAGGGTTCCATTCTTTTTCATTTCTAGATATTGGAAAGCAGTTTATGTATAGGGGTTTTCTTTGGAATTTTTGTTTTCAGGTAATAGCTAATTTTCTTGCAAAGGACACCTTGTCCTCTTTCTATTTTTGTTCTTGTTTTTGTTCCTTTTTGCTTCATCATGAAATTTATTTTGTTGCTAATAAAAACATTATAAATAAATAAACTTCTTTTTCTCTAACATAAGTAAACATGTTTGTTTTGCAATTAACTTTTGTATAGGGCATGAACCTTAGGTACTCCCTTGGGTTCCCCAAAAAAGTATAGCCTCCGTCATATTCCCCTCTCTAAAACTAGTGACTCTAGAGGAGCCGGTCTTGAAAATGTGCTACTAGCCTCTACTTTATGTTAAAAGGGAAGGAATGATTAAAGTTGAGAGAACTTTTACATTTAGAAGAAACACACGATATGGCAATGTGGAGATCTCCCTCATATGAAGAACCAGATGTCACAAGGGTTATGGTAGATGGAAATGCTAGGGGAAGGGACAGATCTAAATCAACATGGGATAGTGTAGTAAATAGATATATGAACCTCCTTAATTTGACTAACCAAATAGTGAGTCGAATAGAGAAGAAAGATTCATGTAACTGATCCCATTTAATGAGACTGAAGGCTCGGTCTGGTTTGGTTTTAGCTTGGCTTGGCTTGGTATGGTATTTTTTGGAACCTCCAAAACAAGTTCCTTGTGTAAAACTTTTGGGCAAACTTATAATAGATGTCCTTCCTCTCCCAACACTCCGAGCAAGATAATTAAACCTCAACAAGAATGAACAATGAGAAAAGAAGTGAGTAAACACAATGTTTGGCAAGAAGTGCCCAAGAGGAGAGCAAAAGGAATTGTTTCAGCCTCAAAAGATATCCGTAGTGATAAGAAATTGAAGGGGCAATGGAGCATCTTGTAGCACCAATATGTTTGAAGTCCATGAATCAAGCAATCAAGAAACAGCAAATGGATGTCCATCAAGTGTGGTATGTGTACAAGAAATTGGGTCTCCAATTCAAAAGGGAGAGAGTAATGGAGTGGAAGAATAGACTACATCAAGAAAGGCGAACAAGAATAAACTTGCGATAAAATAAGCTATCCAAGAGCATCTCCAATCCTTGCTCATTTTTATTCACCAAAATTTGAGAGAAATTTTGGTCAATAGCTTGATTTGATATGGAAGACTCCACTCCATGCTCTCTTTTTTTCATCAAATCTTTTTCAAAAATTCCAAACTTATCCTAAAAATTTGTCTTCACCATTTTTTATGAAAGAAAACTATCTCAAATCCTGACACTTTCTAAAATTTCATCAAATTTGAGTAAAAATAAAATGGTTGAAAATTTGGTAAAGGATTTGGTTCATCCTTCATTTGGTCAAAAAATTGCCTCCCTTGAATCAATACAGAATTGATGAAATAGTGGGAGCACACTTTTAGCCATTTTTTCATCAAATTTGAACTAAGATGAAAAAATTGATGAAGAATTGGAAAGGTAGCAAGAGAGATGGTAGGGACTACATTTTCTACTCCACAAAAGAAATCTAAGCAAAAGCTCCCTAGCAAGGGTGGGGTACAAAAATGAAAAACCTCCTCAGCTCTTTGTTACTGACCTCTCAAGTTGTGAGATATATTTTATTCTGACTTGTGACCTGGCCTCCCAGGTTGTGAGAGTTTTGTCTGGTGTAAGCTTGGTTACGGTGTGCCCTTGCATTGTTAGTGTGATCCATTACATGCCTAGCCACTCGGGCTGTGAGTGGATTTCTCAGGTTAGGTTTGGTTTGCGTTTTTCTCTTTGAGATTGGGTTTGGTAATAAAATGGAAACCATATAAGAAACAACCCAATTCTGTCTCACCTTCCAATCCAAATGGAGTGTAATTCTACCAAGACCTTCAGCAAAATAATAATAATTCGATTCTCCGCAGTATAGCAACATTAACCACACAAAAAAGAACACTTTGGAAGTAATATATTTTCTCAATGAACTTCTCATTACCAACAGCTTCCAACAATGACAAAAAGGTCAATAAAACAAAACCAAAAAAAATGTTTGCTTCATAAAATAAAAAAAAATTTAAAAAAAAATTACAGAAAAAGAACAAACTAACTATGGAAAATGAAAGAGATAATTGGCATGTGTTTGAGCAGCAAAAAATAGCCATCACTCTGTTTATTATTCAGCTCATTTCAAGCAAATTTGAGTGAAACCCCAAAACAACATAAATCAGAAAACTGAAAATATCATATATCAACATTGTATCAATGACATATACATATGTATGTATACATGAAGCTAACCGTGAGATAATCTTCGGGTCTGAACACGGTTGGGACAATGGCCGAGGAAGATTTTGCTTCGGCTTCTTCGACTTCAGGCCGCTTCGCCTCAGTCTCGGGCTCGACTGGCTCAGACCCATCAGTCGAATCGGAACAGAAAAACAACCTCTGACAGAAATTAGGGTTCCGGCGATTGGAGCCTCTGAGTGAGTCCAAAACTCGGAGCAATGGCGAGTTGGAGTCAGTCCCATGGCGGAGATGGGAAGGTAAAGAGGAAGGTGTGGAGTGGAATCGAAGTCGCAGACACGAAGATGATAAGGCTTTCAACATGGGTAGTGAAATTGAGTGGGCGAAAGATTGGTTTTGTGTATGTGTTTGTGGGACTTAGATTGTGTTGTTTGGATATGGTTTTAGAGTGAAACCGCCATTGATGATGAGCTTGGGCAGAAAGAAACGATTTTTGTAACCTGTTCAAAGCCCTCCATAAACCCTTGTGTTTGTGCTTACGATATTGGCCCTGCATCCGTTTGGAAAGCGGGTTGGTTTTTTTTTTTTTTTTGGCTTTTTAGTTTTTATTTGACTATTTTAATTTAGGTTAAAAATTTTGGTTTGAAAAAGATGTTGGTTTTTTTTTTGGCTTTTTAGTTTTTATTTGACTATTTTAATTTAGGTTAAAAATTTTGGTTTGAAAAAGATTTTTTTATTTTTTTATTTTTTTTAAGAGAATAATGTAATGATTATATGTTGAATGTGATGTTTTATTTTTTTGTGACTAAAATAATTTATTTTATTTTTTATGGCTTAAAAAAAAAAAAAAAAAACCTGCAAAAATAAACTAAAAGAAACAGCTCCTAAATGTGTTTATACAACTGAAGTTAGGGAGGGGGACAAGTGTATTGTAGTGAGAAACAGGCAATGTGCATTGCATAGATCAACAATGCTACAGACCACTAAATTTCTACCCCTAACACTGCCACTAATAATGCGGCAAGTTAAAAACAAAAAGTAAAAAATAAAAAAAAAAAAACAAAAACTAAGACACAAAACATATGTGGCAGTGGACCCACTGCCACATCCCTAGTGCAACCACTAATTAGTAGTCTGTATCATTTTTCGTGTTGCTTTTTAATTTTTTGAATATTTTAATTTAGAATTAAAAAATTTCGTTTATGATGAATTTTTTGATTTTTTTAAGTTTTGTGAAAAAAAATAAAATAATTGAGATTTAGATATGACATTTTATCTTATTAATTTTTTAATTTATTTTATCTTTTTATGACTAAAATAATCAAAAAAAATTATCCCAAACATAGACAAAGTTAAAATCTCGGAGCTGTGCTAAAGGCATTGGAAGGAGGGGCGCGAATTTGCCTCGAGTAGATTTTTTTTTTTTTTTTTTTTTTTTTGTTTTGGTTTGGTTTTTGTTTTTGGTTTTAATTTTTTTTTTTTTGCAGACCGGGAAGGAGAAAGGAATAGGTTAGAGAGAGAATCTCCTCCTTCTCTTTAGAACCAGAGAAACAACAGGTTCGGTTCAACAAATAAAATTAAATTAAAAACAAAAAACAAACCAACATAGCCTAACAAATAGGGAAAAAAAAAAACAACAACAACAACAACAATTTAGCCTATGTGATTTGATAAGATGAGTGAGTTGAGTTAGATTGATTAAGTGATAAAATTGACTGATCAATTAGACTACTAGTTAAAATTTGCTAATTCTATATAGTTTTGTACGAGTCCTTACTATATTTTTATTTCAAATCAGAAATACTCGGAAAAAATAAAAACCTAAATCCTAAACTCTAAAGTCACCCCTACACATAACCATCCTTAAAAAAAAATAATAATAATAAAAACAAAATTTACAACAGCCTAACAAATAAATAAATAAATAAAAATAACTAAACTAACACAATCCAACAAATAAATAAAAATAATAATAAAAACAACCGAACTAACACTTTTTAAAAAAAAAAAAATCAATTCGAGCCACATTTGAGGCCTCAATTTTTTCCCTAAAATCTTTAAGTTGGGTCATATCAAATAATTTATTTTAATTTATAAAAAATTGTTTCTGAGAAGTGTCTATCTTTTCTTATTATCTGATACTGATTATAAGATTTATTTTATTTCATTTTTTAAAAAAAAATCCAAATTGACTGTGGATTAGTTTTTTTTTTTTTTTTTTTTAATATATGGAAAAAGTGGGCTAACAGTTAATAACAAAAAAAATATATAAGTTAGTTCAATTTATAACTAAAAAAAGGCTAATTCAATTTATAATTAATAAGGATAAAAAAAGATATTTATATATCAAAAAATTATTTCATAGCTTATTTATCAAATACTAATCTAACAGTGGTACCAAATAGATTAATAATTTCTTATTAAAATCGTAATTTAAATTTATTAAGTTATAATCTACAATCTATTTTAACAGTTATACCAAATACTTCTTAAATGATTAATTTTTTTCTAACTTATTTAAATTATTTGTGCCTAATAAGTTATAAATAAAAGTTATATCAAACAATCTGATTCACACTTTCAAATTAAAACAAACTATAATCGCCTCTTATAATTTATACTAAACAGTCCCATTATACTTGAATTTTGTTTTAAGTACAGATTTGTCCTTCCAATAAGAAAAATGAAAATGTTCGATCCACACAAAAATACTTCGCCTGGCAATTCGGAGAAAGGAAAATTCGCTGGATGTGACGGTACTGTAATGTAAAACCATGACAATAAACTTGTGGCTCAAATCTTATTCAATTAATTTTATTCTAATTAATTTTGAATTTATTTAAAATATTTCATTGTAAATTATTTTATTGGGTTATAGCGAAATGCTCATTTTAGTTTTGCATTCTCTTTTTCTTATTTTGTATGTCTTGTTTGAATGTGACATGGATAGGCCCACAAGGCATACGGCCCACAGTAAACCACCCAAAACCCATCGCTTGGGACCAATGGCATAACCCGGTTGGTAAAGCCCAGGACAGCTGGAGGCCATCTAGACATGAAGGGCCAATGGCATTTGGGCACATGACAGGTGGGACACGGGCCACATCAGTAGACAAAGATCTGCAGAGTTATTATCACAACACATCACCATTAATGCATCCCATCACAGCATTTATTACGACAGCACCCCCCGCCGGAACAGAGCCTCCATCACCCTGAACAAGGTAAGCTACGGCACAGGCTTTCGGCGAAGAAAAGCACGTCACAAGAGACAGGAAAAATGATAACAAAAGAATATAAGCAAGGATAGGAGGACAAGAATAAGGTTAAGCTATCTCTCTCTCTCGATCCCTCTCTACACAGTTTTTCTCATACTCTACTCTACTAATTCTCACACCGGAGGGTTCACTGGGGGACTACCCCGTTCCCCTCTGGGCTTGCATGCAGGTCACCTGACGGAGTCATCACCCTGAGCCGGAGTCTGAAGAGCCTGGACCGGTCCGACCCATCCACCCGGGGAGCAGAACCTTATCAGAATGGAAATAGTCATTCCAATAGAATATCTATTCCAACAAAATGTAAAGAATGTTTATTCATTCCTCTAACCTAATGAATAGACATTCTATTTGAACATTATAAAAAATTATCAATTAATAACCACTACTATTCTCTTCTACTACCACCCCATTCCGCCGCCATCACAATCACAACCATCACAACTACCAAATTATCACTACCATCATTGCTACTACAACCACCCATCAGCACCATCACGACTGCTACAACTACTACTATAACCTCTACAACCACCATACTACCACCCCCTACTATCGTCGTTGCTTCCACTACCATCACCACAAATATCACTGCCACAACTATTACCATTACGTATTCAATCATCACTATTATTATTGCTCGAACCACTACCCTAATACAATCGCTCCCACCACCACAACTGCTTATGTCGCTACAACCTCCACTAGCACATTCACAAAAAACACATCACCACCATCACGGGAAACATCACTTTGCGATTGCTACCAGCCACCACAACCATTTCTCCACAACACTACCTTACCACCACCAATGGCACATCGAGCTACCATCACTACCACGCACATCACGCCATCACTTCCGCAACTATCAACACTATTATGATTTATATAAATTTTTAACTTGTTTATTAATAAATTGTTTAAAAAAATAATAATAAAAAAAACACATATTCCATTATGTTAGTTTAATAATCATAACCAAACACGAGAATACAAATTGTCATTATATTTTTATATCATTTCATGTTGCTATGTAAACTTGATGTTCTATGATACCATTATGTAATAATGGTGTAGCATAGAACACCATTATTACATATTTACCATTATGCAAGAGAATCTAAATAAGTGAGTAAATAAAATGGAAAAAAAAATACGAATTGGAAGACATACACCATTATTACATATTTGTCATCAGGCAAGAGTGCCTGAATAAGTGTCCGAGTGATTGAACCCTAATGCATGAAAAATGCTAAGTAAACACCATTATTACATATTTACCATCATGTAAGAAGATCCGAATAAGTGAGTAAATAAAATAGAGAAAAAATGGCGATTGGAAGACATACACCATTTTTACATATTTACCAACGTGCAAGAGGGTCCAAATAAGTGAATAAATAAAAGGGAGAAAGAAATAAGGATTGGAAGACATACACCATTATTACATATTTGTCATCATACAAGAGGGTCTAAATAAGTGTCCGAGTATTCGAACCCTAGTATATGTGAGACGAGTAGATGCGAACATGAGAAATGCTAAGTAAACATGATGTTCTACACTACCATTATAAGCAGGTAAATAAAAGGGAGGAGGAAGAAATGGAGATTAGAAGGCATACACCATTATTACATATTGGCTATCATGCAAGAGAGTCTGAATAAGTGTCCGAGTGTTCGAACCCTAATGCATGTGAGACAAGTAGATGCGAACATGAGAAATGTTAAGTAAACATTATGCTCTAAGCTACCATTATAAGCGGGTAAATAAAAGGGAGAAAAAAATAGGGATTGGAAAAGTCTTCGAAAAAGTGTTCAAGTGTTCGAACCCTAATGCATGTGAGACGAGTAGTTCCGAACATGAGAAATGCTAAGTAAACATGACGTTCTATGCTACCATTATAAGCGAGTAAATAAAAGAGAAAAAGAAATGGGGATTGGAAGACATACACCATTTTACATATTTGCCATCGTGCAAAAGAGTCCGAATAAGTGTCTGAGTGATCGAACCCAAATGCATGAGAAATGCTAAGTATACACCATTATTACATATTTGCCATCATGCAAAAGGATCCGAATAAGTGAGTAAATAAAATGGAGAAATAAATGGGGATTGGAAGACATACACCATTATTACATATTTGCCATCATGCAAAAGGGTGTGAATAAGTGTCCGAGTGCTCGAACCCTAATGCATGAGAAATACTAAGTAAACACCATTATTACATATTTGCCATCATGCAAATGGGTCCAAATAAGTGAGTAAATAAAAGAGAGAAAGAAATGGGGATTGGAAGACATACACCATTTTTACATATTTGTCATCATGCAAGAGGGTCCGAATAATTGTCTGAGTGTTCGAACCCTAATGCATGTGAGATGAGTAGATGCGAACATGAGAAATACTAAGTAAACAAGATGTTCTATGCAATCATTATAAGCGGGTAAATAAAAGGGAGAAAGAAATATGGATGGAGATTGGAAGACATACACCATTTTTACATATTTGCCATTGTGCAAGAGGGTCCGAATAAATGTTCGAGTGTTCGAACCCTAATGCATAAGAAATGCTAAGTAAACACCATTATTACATATTTGCCATCATGCAAGAGGGTCCGAATAAGTGTCCGAGTGTTGAAACCCTAATGCATGAGAAATGTTAAGTAAACACCATTATTACATATTTGCCATCATGTAAGAGGGTCTGAATAAGTGAGTAAATAAAAATGAGAAAGAAATGGGGATTGAAAGACATGCACCTTTTTTACATATTTGCCATCGTGTAAGAGGGTCCAAATAAGTGAGTAAATAAAAGGGAGAAAAAATGAGGATTGGAAGATATACAGCATTATTATATATTTGTCATCATGCAAAGAGAGTCTGAATAAGTGTCCGAGTATTCGAACCCTAATGCATGTGAGACGAGTAGATGCAAACATGAGAAATGCTAAGTAAACATGATGTTTTGCAATACCATTAAACAATGAAAATGTGAATGGGCATTCTATTTTATTCAACTTTGTATTTTGTTCTTATGCTCGTACTTCATTCCAAGCATGCTGTAAGTGTTTGGGTAATCCATGTCATTATATGGATAAATTTAAAAAGGGGTTTTAATATAATAAAAAAAATCTCATATATGAAACCTATACACCAATAAGCCTCTGTTTGGGAAGCGGGTTAGCTTTTTGGCTTTTTTAGCTATTTTAGCCTTGGCTAAAAAGTTTGGTTTGGGAAGAACTTTTTGGACTTTTTTTGTGAGAGAAGAGTGTATTGATTATGGGTTGGATGTGATGCTTTGTTTGTTGTGGCTAAAATAACCTATCACTACAAAAAAATTAACTTTTTGCGACGGTAAAATACCGTCGCTAATACTCCTAATGCCGTCGCAAAAACTTTTTGCGACGGCAAAATGACAGCACTGTTTTTGCGATGGCATTTTCTGCCTTTTGCGACGGCACTGTGCAGTCGCTAATAATGTTTGAAATTTCTTGACTTTTTGCGACAGCACTATTTTACCGTCGCTAAAAATATTATTTGAGACGGCAAAATATACCGTCGCTAATAGTCTTTTTTTTGCAACGGCAAAAACACTATTTTTGCGACGGTGTGGTGCCGTCGCAAAAAGTATTAAAAAAATAATAAAATTTCCATTTTTTGCGACAGTTTAGTATCGTCGCAAAAAGTAAAACCTGTAACAAAATCAATAAAAATAATAAAATTTTCTATTTTTTGCGACAGTGTAGTACCGTCACAAAAAAAAAATAAAAAAATCCTCCGATAAAATTATTAAAAATATTAAAATTTCTCCATAATAATATAAAAATTCCTGTATAAAATAACAATTTCTTCATAATAAAATATTATTCCATTCATAATTACACATCAACCAAATTATCCTACTACATAATGTTCCATAATTATCCTCTGATAAAATTTACAAATATAAAAGAAATGAAAAAAATAAACACAATATAAATGAATATAAATTACTTTTTGGAAAGCCTAAAAAATTCCATAATTTCATAATGATAGTTTGTACACATCCTCATTCATCAAAACTCACGAAGAAATTGTCCATCTCTTGTATGGTTTTGCCAAGCGTGTCTTCAAGGCTGCCAAAAATGGCAACTGATGATCCTTTGTTATCTAAAATCAAAATGCATGTAGCATTCATCAGCCTTTTCTCTCTCATAGAACCAAGATTTGTGATCATCAAGAAGCAGATCAACATATTTCTTCAGCAAACACGATGTCAAATATGGATTGCACTGCAACGAAAACATAGCAATTAGATGAGAAATATTGTGAATTTGCAGAAAATCAATTTAACAGTAAGATGGTGCTAAAGACTGCAGTTAAATAAAATAAAAAAACATAATAATAATAAAAAAAAAGATATTTGTCACCAAATAAATTTCACCATTTTTTTCACCTACGTGGATCTACACAACAAACACCATATGAACACGTACGACACACCCCAAACAAAGGCCAGCATAGGTGATATGCAAATTATAACTGGAACCAGTTGTTTTATATGTATAGAAACCCGTAGGCCAAGAAAATTCTCTAGGTATCAGCATAGTGGGACAAATCAAATTTCTAGTCATTAAATCAAGTTGCTATAAAGTTTCCCAACTCAAATGAATTGCTGAAAACAATCCAAGGAAATTATGAATACAAAAAGGTAATTGAAGCAAAAACTCAATCCAACATATCGAGATTTTCTAGGTTTGATAATTTTCAAAATCACAAACTTTGACTTCACCTGATTTTATTATCATAATACTAGATGAACTGATGTAATCTTAACAGACTCAATGTCAAGCCTAGAGTTCCACTAGTGGACCATGAAAAGTAGTACATCAGTTTATTCTTTTGTTTCATCCCCATTTCTTCTGATTATCTTACTTCCCATATCTTTTAGTTTATTTCTCAATTTAATCAATTTCATGATGGCTTTAAATCTGAATTGTTTCTTGCAAACTGTCACATAATCTTTTGCTATTGATATTCCAACTCGCGGACATTCTTGACACTGAAGTTCAGTTCAGTTATGGTTTTATATAATTTTCATTGCTTCGTTATTAAATAGTCTGCATACCTTCCTCTTTGGGGATGTTTGGTTGATCAACCAAGAGTTGCTGGAAAGCACCTAGATCACTGCCATTGCAGTGATAAAAATTCAAGATATATTCATAAATTCAAGAGAATATAACATAAAAAATACATCAAGGATGTGAATTAGAAACAAGAAGAAGCAAACTATTTATATGAACTGGAGAGAGAATTTCAATTTCAACCATTTAATGTGGTAATAAACAAATTTGTCCACACAAACTCATCAATATTTCATGCTCTTTAAACAAGAGAGTGACTGACCATAAATAAGGTTTACAAATTCCGAGATATAAGGAAGAACTGCAACGCTTTGCATACTTGGGCTTCAAGGCAAGTGCTGAAAGTGCTGATACAATTGATGCTTTAAGAATGTACCTGAAAACTAGAATTGAGTGAGTCTTGAGAATTAAAATAAAAACTTAATGTTGGCTCTGTAATCTATTAATGCAGCAATCACAACTAACAATTGTTGGAAGATATGACTTTCATCAATGAACAAGTAACATTATCTAAAACCAAGTGCTTTAGCAAATAGCACACTAAAAAAACAAAACAAAACATACTCTGATTGGTGCATCTCGTAAATAAGGCTTAGCCCATCCAGACAATCTGCTAGAGATGGTTTTATACCAATTCGTTGTTGTAGCTATTTTGGGGCCGCCTGAATAGATCCTGCTTTAACTAGCTGTCTACCATCACGAAGAATTTTATTGAGAAAGAAAACGATACCATGAAACTCTTCCCTGGAATAGTTCACAATAAACTAAAAAATTCATACATTTGTCGATGAACCCAGTAACTTGAGTACTTCAGAAGTCAATGAGCAAAATCGCTCTTGGTTGCAAAACAATATGATCAACATTATCATAATCAAGAATACATAAAATATTTGAAATGTATCACATATTGTGAAATACGTCTACTCTCTAAAAACAATGACGATTTTATTCAAGAGTTGATTTGAGAGCATTAAATCATTTCTCTATTTACAAAGCCTTCAAGGAGAGTATGCAACCATTAAAAAATTTGTTCCTATCATTTCAAAAAAAAATGCTAAAACTAAAAGCCCCAATCCCAACTTGCTATGCTTACTTTCACAAAATACAAACAAAATCATCACCATAAGTTCAAAAGTTGCGATTTTTTTTCTTATCCAAAATTTTCTCAATAAATTGCACAGAGCAAAAGATAGAAACCCAATAACTTACAGAGTCTTATTCATGGAAAGCAAGATAATGCTATGCTCGCTTTACCAAAATATAAACAAAATAACCATCATAAGTTCAAAAGTTGAGATTTTTTTTCTTATCCAAGATTTTCTCAACAAATTGCACAGAGCAAAAGACAGAAACCCAAAAACTTACAGAGTCTGATTCATGGAAAGCAAGATAGATTCCAAAGATTCCATCTGCTTTCTCAAGACCAAATCTTCAATGCCAGCAATACATTTCAAGGCACCATAGTTCTTGGGATTTTGGATAACCTGTAATCAAACAAAAACAAAAAACAAAACACAAATTATAATATGAAGAACAATTCATAAGCTATTTCATATTATACGTATGTTGTGGTGAATTAGAAGGGACCTGTAACCTCTGAATGATAGAAGATGAGTTCCGGAACTGGGAAAGCAACCTAGATTGAAGTTCGTCCCATCGACTCATCTCTTCTTTCACTTTTCTAAATTTTTGCTAATATTTCTTTACCATACCCTCCATCCTCACCTACCCAAAATTGTAAATCTTCAATTGTTTCCTCTGCAAACATCCGGATGATACTGAAAATCCGATCATATTACAAACATAATTATTAATTAATAAAATGGGTTCCACATTAATAATTAATCAAAAAAAAATTAAATCAAATCAAATAAATGAAAAATAACATTAAATGAAGCATGCATCAAATGCAATTGCAATTAAATTTTTATTTATTTTTTATCCAATATTTTTTCAAATCACTCATTCTAAGCATAATCAAAAATGTTTGGGAATCTAAAAAATAAAAAATTAATAGGAAAGGATACCAATCAGAACCAGATTTTATAGAAGAAGATATTAATCAAAAAATGAAAATATAAAAAACAACATTTTGAAAAGAAAATGGAAAGAGAAATTACATGGAGAGCAAGTTGTCTGGAAAGAGAAATTAATGCCTTTCTTCGTCCCTCATTCTGAGAATAGAAGTTCCAGAGCGAGAAATAGAGATAGAGGTATTCACGGAAGTCAAACTGGAAGCAGAGCATGAGGGGAGAGAGGGGTTGGCGAAAGATTAGGGCTTGGTCATCAAAGTTGGTGAAGAGACGACGGGTGTCGGAGGGAAAGTCGGAGGGAGGGAAGAGAGGGTAGTCGAAGTTGAGAGAGGAGAGAGAGAACCAGAGGTTTCGCCATTTGGGAGAGAGACAGGTGGTTCGAATGGCATCAAGAGTGGGGAAAAATGAGAGGATGAGGAGAAGGATGAGGTCCGGGAAGTCATTCAGGCTAGGAACGGTGGTGGAGTCACCGGTTGTCTCCGTCGCTCACCGTCTATCTCGAGAGAGAGGGGGGTAAGAACAGATTAGGGATTTTTGGGTTTGAGATTGGGGATTTTTTTGCTTTTGGGGATGGGGGAGCGGGAATGCTAAAAAAAAAAGGGGCGGGAACAAAAAAAAAAAAATATATATATATATTTTAAGGGTCAAAAATGAAATTTAAATAACAAAATAACGCCGTTTAATTTTTTATTTTATTTTTTTTTTGAGATTGGGGTTGCTATCGTCAAAAATTTTTATTTTTTGTTAAAATATATATTTTTTCTAGTTAATGAATTTTTTTTAAAAAAATTCTTTTTTTTATAGTTACAAAGATTGAAAATTTATTTGTTTCATTTTTATTTTAATGAAAAAAAATATATTATTTTATATTTGGTAGAAGTAGGGGCAATATTTTTTTGCTGCCCATTTTTTTTGGTTATTAAAAATTATGAATTAATTTTTTGTACTAGAGAAGAGGAAGCGGCAGTAGTGATGTAGGCGGTGGATAAGAGATGATGGTGGTGGTGGTGATGATGGCGAAGGAGATTAGTGGTGAAGTTGTGGTAGTGGTAGAGTAAATGGAGTGGCAGGGATGAAAGAGAGGTAATGGTAGTAGTAATGGCAATAGTGGTAGTGAAGTGGTGGCAATGGTGGTAGTAATAATGGTAATCGTAGAGGTGACGTGACGACAGTGGTAGTAAGGTGGTAGTGGAATGACGTTTGCAGTAGTGGTAAATGTGGTAAAGGAGATAGGTGGTGAGAGAGAGAGAGAGGTGAATGAGAGACAGATAGAGGAGAGAGAGAGAGAGACAAAGACAGAAGAGAGATAGAGAGAAGAGAGATCAGTGAGAGAGACATAGAGACATGAGTGAGAGAGACATAGAAAGAAGAGAGATGAATAAGAGAGATAGAGAGAAGAGAGACAGAGAGAGATAGAGAGAAGAGAGATGAGCGAAAGAGACAGAGAGAGAAAAGAGATAGATGAGTGAGAGACACAGAGAGAGAGAGACAGATAGACAAACACACAGAAAGAGAAGAGTGATGAGTGAGAGAGAGAAAGGAAGATGAAAAAATGGATGAGAGACACAGAGAGAAAGAGAGAGAGACAGACAGACAGACAGAGAAGAGTGATGAGTGATGAGTGAGAGAGAGAAAAAAAAGAGAGACAGAGACATACAGAGAAATAAAGAGACAGACAGACAAAGAAGAGTGATGAGTGAGAGAGATGGAGAGATAAGAGAGACAGAGACACATAGAGAGAGAGAGAGAGACAAACAGAAAAGAGCGAGAGAGAGAGAGAGAAAAAAGAGCGAAAAGAGATAAACGAGAGAGAGACAAAAAGAGATGAGCGAGAGAGAAAAAAAGAAGAGAGAGAGAAGAGAGACAAATAGAGAAGATATATGAAAGAGATAGAGAGAAGAGAGATGGACGAGAGACACAGAAAAAGAGAGAAAGAGACAGACAGACAGCCAGACAGAGAAGAGTGATGAGTGTGAGAGAGAAAGAGAAGAGAGACAGAAACACAGAGAGAAAAAGAAAGACGGACAGACAGAGAAGAGTGATCAGTGAGAGAGAGAGAGAGAGACAGAGAGAAGAGAGACAGAGACATATAGAGAAAGGGAGAGACAAACAGACAGAGAAGAGTGATGAGTAAGAGAGAGAAAGAGAAGAGAGACAGAGACAGAAAGATAGGAAGATGAAAAAATAGGTGAAAAGAGAAATGTTCAAAAGAGTAAGACGACGTCGTTTATAGTGGACCAATAAATCGAGAATGAGCTCGATAAATAGAGAAGATGGGAGTAAGAGAGTGAGCAAGGCGAACATAGTGAGAGTGAAATAGACAAATAGATAAGTAGAGAGAGAGAGAGAGAAGAGTGATAAGTGAGAAAGAGATAGGGAGAGAGAGAGATAGACAGAAAAAGAGATAGAGAGAGAAAGAGAGAGAGAGAGAGATGGAGGGAGAGATAGAAAAAGAGAGAAACAAAAGATGAGCGAGAGATAGACAAAAAGGGAGAGAAATAGAGCGAAAAGAGATGAGCGAGAGAGAGACACAGAAAATCGATGAGGAGCTCGATAAATAGAGAAGATGGGAGTAAGAGAGTGAGCAAGGCGAACATAGTGAGAGTGAAATAGACAAATAGATAAGTTGAGAGAGAGAGAGAGAGAAGAGTGATAAGTGAGAAAGAGATAGGGAGAGAGAGAGATAGACAGAAAAAGAGATAGAGAGAGAAAGAGAGAGAGAGAGATGGAGGGAGGGAGAGATAGAAAAAGAGAGAAACAAAAGATGAGCGAGAGATAGACAAAAAGGGAGAGAAATAGAGCGAAAAGAGATGAGCAAGAGAGAGACACAGAAAAAGAGAGAGACAGAGAAAGAAGAGAAATGGACAAGAGAGATAGAAAGATAAGAGAGAGAGATAGAGAGAAAGAGAGAAAAGAAATGCGAGAGATAGAGAGAAGAGAGATGAGCGAGAGAGACAGAGATAGAAAACAGATGAGAGAGATAGAGAGAAGAGAGATATGCGAGAGACACAGAGAGAAAATAAGAGAGAGAAACAGACAGACAGAGAAAGAAGAGTGATGAGTGAAAGAGATAAAGAGAAGAGAGAGATAGAGACAAAGAGACAGGAAGATGAAAAAATGAATGAAAAGAGAAATGTTATATCAAAAGAGTAAGACGACATTGTTTGTTTAATTTTTTTTGCGACAGAAAAATACCCTTGAATTTATTCAAACCATTTTGTGACTGTATATATATGAAGCTGTCTCAAAACCACAATCACTATGCTAGGTTAGAGTTTTCCAAAAACTCTTTTGAGAAAATTATACTTTCTTGTTTTTCGTGTTATATTGTTTTTACTGAATTTTTTTAATATTTTAAGTATTTTTTTTTAATTTTTAGACACACCTAACATAAATACACCTAAAAAAACAGAGCATTTGAGACGGCAAATTGTGCCGTCGCAAATGCTCTGTTTTTTTGAGACGGCAAATGGTGCCGTCGCAAATACTCTGCTTATTAATACTCTCATTTTTTGAGACGGCAAATTGTGCCGTCACAAATGCTCTGTTTTTTTGAGATGGCAAATGGTGCCATCGCAAATACTCTGCTTTTTTGATACGACATTTTCTGTCGTCGTAAAAAGTGATTTTTTGAGACGGCAGGTGTGCCGTCGCAAATAGTTCCGTCTCATAAACCCACTTTTCTTGTAGTGTATTTTGTCTTTTGTGGTTAAAATAGCCAAAAAAGCTCTTGCCAAAAAGTTTTAGGAAAATGATATTGACTTTCCATCAACCCAAAAAGTTTTAGGAAAATGATACAAAGCTCTAATTTGAGCTCTAGTGATGTGGTAAAGCAAAAGAAAAAGAAAAAAAAGTCAGCACAAAATATCACATCACAGGATAGGCCTTATACATTAGAGCTCCTCTAGAGCTCATCCATTTGAGCTCTCAATCTTTTACCAAAGTTTTATGTCATAACAAATACAATTTTATCTCTTTGTACCTATTTTCTCATTACACCGTTAAGAAAAAAATAAAATTTTCATTACACTCTTTATAATACCAAAATTAACCGTAAATTAAACTATTTTCAAAATCCTTATAAATTTTTTTCATTACACCTATTCCTTTTGAATTACTTCAATGTCATGCTATCGAACAAATTATATTTGTCTAACCATCTATTGCCGCACTTTCCTTAAAACATTATTTTTTTTCTTCTAAATTTATGATAAGTCTGAGCAAACATTATTTTTTTCCTTAAAACATTAAACTCTTTTCAAAATCCTTATAAATTTTTTTCATTACACCTATTCCTTTTGAATTACTTCAGTGTCATGTTATCGAACAAATTATATTTGTCTAACCATTTATTGCCGCACTTTCCTTAAAACATTATTTTTTTTCTTCTAAATTTATGATGAGTCTGTTCAGTTATACATAGCCAACCAATTTAAATTATTCCAGAATCATGTTGTTAGACAAACTACATTTGTCTAGCCATTTGTTGCTGCACGTTTACAGATTTATTTCCCTTAAAATATCAAGCATTCATAAAAAAATGAAGTGTACAAATGTCCATAAAAACATTCATAAAATATCTTTAAATTTGTCAATATAAATATCTTTAAATTTGTCAATACAAACATTTATAAAAACACACTAAGATGTTATCAAAATTTATCTATGTCGATAGTTTCGGTAGTT